GCGATCGAAGTTGCACCCCAAGGGGCCGAAGTGGTCACGGACCACCTCCAGCTTGTTCACGAAGGGTGCTCATGGGATCCAGATCTGGCGGCTGCCCGAAATGCGCATGCAGATATATGGCGCAAGATATTCGAGCTTCAAGGCGAAGGCCTACAGAGGCCGAGTTTCCGTTGGGTCCCAGCGCACCGAGGGCCAGAGGACATACTTTTGTGCACGAGCTCAGACATCCAAGACTACCTTGGAAATGTATGGGCCGATTTTTTCGCCAGACCAGGGTCGAGTATGCACCAGGTCCCAGATGTTTATGTCAAGGCCGAGAAGGCCCATATTAAAAAGCATCAGCTAACCTGGGATTTTTTTAGCGCGTGCCATCCAGATAATTAGTACTGCGGGAGAACAGGTTGAAGTCCCGCAACCGCCCCCCAGGCAGGCCCCCAGCACAGCGCCTGAGCTCTCGCTCTCGCAGCACGAACTTTGTTATCTTGAAGCTCGTGGCGAATGGAGATGTAGGCGCTGCAACATGGCAGCGACCACCGACCAGACCCTCAAGGGTCTGCGAACAGGGGGAAGTCGTGAATGCAGGCCAACAGCCATTCAGCAGTGGCAGGCCAAACCGTTTTTTAACAGAATAGCTGAGCAAGGCCTGGTTGTCGCGTCAGACTCGACGGCCGCAGCGGGGCCTGCCCTGGAGCTTGCAAACACGATCCTGGGGCCCCTGCCAGGAGTCTCCTCCTTCGAGCCTCCTGTCGACCTGGGGCCCACCTCTTCCGATGCCTGGTCCAGGGGCCCCTCGGGGTCGGACTCAGAAGACCTCAAAGTTTTTAGCGACCTTCAGCACCGACCCGTGCGCAATGGGAGAATAATAATCTGCCTTGACTGTGCGTGCTTTTTGGTGCTCCCCGATGGCTGTTGTCGGGGACTAAGACGGACGCGCCGAGGTGTTTCGCAGGTGCAGACGACACGCATTGGTCACCTCAAAAAGCTTGCTCGCGCTGAGAGTGGCCGACGTCCAGGCACTGGTGTCCAGCCCGAGAGCAGGCCCGAATCTCCCGACCGTGCAAGCGCCACCGCCCAGTGCTCTTCTGTTCCTGCTGCTGCGGCAGTTTCGCGCATCGTTGTGGGTGGTGGTGCTGGGGAGGAAGACTCGGGCTCATCTGGCTAATTTTCTCGGGGCCGCGCATTGCATTTGTGTGGCCCCACTTCCATATCCCGGCAATCTTATTTTGCCCTCTGTCGGCCAGTGCCGCGATGTAGCAGCCGCGCTCCGCGGCGCCTGGGTTGCAGGCGCCGCCCTTCGGAGCTCGGCCTGGCGCCCTGACGGTCGCCGTATTTTGGAGGGTCGGCAACTCTGCCCACCCTCCCGCGATCCCCCATCCAGAGCTGCAGCTATCGAATCGACTGCTGCCGCTGCACCGCTGCCCGCTGCCCGCTTCTCCTCCCCCACCTCAATGAATGATTTTGGCCCCGCATTGGGACCCTCGTTGTGGCGAAGGTCTGGTCAAGAGCCCGATTTCACCGCCGACGAGAAAGCGCTGCGAAAAGTGGGGTTCCGTTCAAAAATGTGCGGGGCTGGTGAAACGGCCGCGCCCCCGCCAGCGGAAACGGAGGCCAAAAGGGGCATCGAAGAGCGTACGGGTCGAAGCGCCCAGCAGCTCGCAGTTGCAGCTCGAGTGCAAGTTGCCCAGCCCCGATTTTGCCATGGCCAGGTTTGACAAGATGGAGAGAGGGCCAAGGGCCTGACGGACCTCCTGGAGAGGCGGGCATGCACCAGCCAACTCGACGGCAAGCTCCACGGCAACCTGAACAGCCTGGCCAACTCTTGCAGTCGGACGTCGATTTTCCGTGCACGTTTAGGTATATGTAGGTGTCGTGATTTTGTTTCGCATGATGATCCGACTTGCTCCTCGATGGTCCACGCCGAGAGAATGCACACGCCGAGTGGATGCCACGAAAGAGGACGAGTCGGAAAGCCAGGCCCGAGGCTTGACAGGTCTTCCGAGACGGCAGCCGCCGCAGCGAGGGGGCTAGCCCCAGGGCCCGCAGAACCTCCTGGGCAGATGCGTCGGCGAGGAGCCCACGGAAGGCAAAAAATCGCCGCAACCAAAAGATGCCCTCGGAAAGGAAGCGTCTGTGTGGCGCGCGCGCGTGCGCGCGCCGTGGCCGCCCCCGCCCGCCGCGGGGCGGGGGCGCGGCCGGCGCGGGGCAGGGCGCAGCGCTGCGGAGCGGTGGCGCGGCGCGCCGCAGTTCGTCGCCGTCGCTCGCCTTCGTCGTCGTCGTCGTCGTCGTCGTCGTCGTCGCGCGCGCCCTGGTCGTCGTTGCCGTCGTCGTCGTCGTCGTCGTCGTCGTCGTCGTCGTCGTCGTCGTCGTCGTGGTCGTCGTCGTCGTTGTCGTCGTCGCCGTCGTCGTCGTCGTCGTGGTCGTCGTGGTCGTCGTCGTCGTCGTCGTTGCCCTGCCTTCCGAGGGCACGGCGCTTGCCTTCCGCGAGCCCCCCCGGCGGTGCGCGGGCGTCCTGCCCCACGCGGGCGCGCGCGCGAGCCCGGCGCGGCGGCGTGGCGGCCGGCGCGTCCCATGGCCGTTGGCCGGGGCCCGCCGCGGGCGATGGCCCTCGGCGAGCCCCCTCGGCCCTCGGCCCTCGAGGGTCGAGACAGAGGAGAAGGAGAAGGACGAGGAGGAGGAGGAGGAGAAGGAGGAGGATGAGGAGGCGGAGGAGGGGGAGGAGGGCCTCCCTCCTCTCCTCTGCGTTGGCCCTCCATCCGCCCCTGCCTGCTCTCTCTCCCTCCCTCTCTCATGCTACACTGTTGGGATCAGCGCCTGTTGGGAATCTGGGCAGTGGCAGTGGGCCTTGGTGCTGCTCAGCGGGATGTGGATTTCGAATGCGGAGCCCGACGTCATCAGCTTCAGCGTCCCGATCAACGCTTGCGAATCCGGATAGCACGGGCGGCAGGCCTTGGCGCCGCGTGGCGTGACGCGGGCGGCCAGTGGGCAACTTGACGCCGTCAGCTACAGCGCTGGGATCAGCACGTGCGAGAAGTGCGAGCGGTGGTCGATGGCTTTGGCTTTGGTACTACTGAGCCAAACGTCATCAGCTACCATCCCGGGATTACCGCACGCGAGAAAATCGGAGAAGGTGCAGTGGCAGCATGGGTCGTGAACTGGAGCCTCCAGGGCGCATGCGCCGCTGGCATCCTAGTGCGGCTCGCGCGCATGGGAACGCGTGGGGGCATGCCCCCTGCAGGAGCAGCACGAGCGAGAGCAAGAGAGGAGGGGAAGGAGGAGGAAGGAGAAGGGGGGGAGGCGGAGGAGGGGGGAAAAGATAGGCAGAGCAAGAGGATAGGGAGAGAAGGAGGAGGAGGAAGACCTCCCTCCTCTCCTCTGCGTTTGCCCTCCACCCGCCCCTGCCTGCTCTCTCCTCCTGATCATTGTCCTCCTCATCATTATCTCCCTCTCGCCCTCTCTCCCTCTCCCTCCTCCTACTCCGCCTCCTCCTCCTCCTCCTCCTCCTCATCATCATCAGCAGCAGCAGCATCATCATTGTCTACTGCCTTTCTCCTCAACCACCATCAGCATCATTAGCAGCATCAGCCATCAGCCACTAGCCATCGGTAACATCATCATCAGCAGCAGCAGCGGCATCAGCATCAGCATCAGCATCATCATCAGCAGCAGCAGCATCATCATCACCATCACCGGCACCACAACCACTACCACCACAACAAACATCAACATCATGAGCATGATCATGACCATCATCAGCATCATCATCCACATCATCATAAAGCTCACCATCATTATCATCATCGTCGTCGGGGTCATCGCCATCGTCATCGTCATCATCGTCGCCTATGGGCCATCATCATCATCATCATCATCATCGTCATCGCCAGCATCATCATCATCATCACCATCACCACCACCATCAACATCATCAGCAGCATCATCATGATAAGCATAATCATCATCGTCAGCAGCATTATCAGTATCATCTCAGGCATCATCATAATCCTTGTCATCATCATCAGCATCATCCTCATCATAAGTATCATTATCGGCAGCATTAGAATCACCGACATCGCCATCATCATCACCATCATCATCACCATCATCAGCACCACCATAATCATCGTAACCATGGCCATCATCATACTCATCATCATCAGCATCATCAGTATCTGCAGCAAATCATCATCATCATGAACATAGTCACCATCAGCATCATCAGCATTCTCATAATCATCATCATCGTCATCATAAATATCATCAACAGCAGCATCAGCATCAGCATCAGCACCAACATCCTCGTCTGCATCATCACCAACATCGTCATCATCATCGCAATCATCATCAACATCAGCACTACCGTCGCCATCATCGTCGCCAGTCAGCACCATCGACATTACCATCACATCACCTCATCACCAGCATCATCATTATTATCCTCATTATCAACTTCACCGTGTTACCATCATCGTCATCATCGCTATCGGCATCACTGACATCCTCATAATCACCATCATCGTGATCATCAGCATCATCATAATCAGTATCATCACCATCGGCATCATAATTTTCATCATCATCAGCGTCGTCATCGTCATCAGCATCATCATTAGCAGCAGCAGCATCAGCATCAGCATAAGCATGAGCATCATTAGCATCATCAGCATTGTCATCATCATCATCAGCATCATTATCCGCATCATCAGCATCATCGTCGCCATCGTCATCAGATCACCAGCATAGTCATCATCACCATCATCAGCATCATCATCTCCACCACCACCACCACCACCATCATCATCATCATCACCAACATCATCAACACCAACACTCACATCATCATCATCATCATCATCATCATCATCATCATCATCATCATCATCATCATCATCATCATCATCATCATCATCATCCCTCTCCTCCTCCTCCTCCTCCTCCTCTTCCTCCTTCTCTTCCGCCTCCTCTTCCTGCTCGTCCTCTTCTTCCTTCTCCCGCCCCGCGTCCTTTGGCAAGAACGGGATCAAATCTCGGGGAATGCACCTCAGATGCACCTGCTTATTCTGGCTCACGAAAAGGTTCCTCATCCTGTTGACCGCGTCGACCCCAGCAATGTCCAGAATCCTGTGTTTTTTTCAATTCTGTGAAATTGGAAACTGGGCAAATCCACTCCACAACCACGTCGCAAATCAAAAGGTCACAGGACAAACCGGGAACACCGCACAAGCCAACCTTCAAGATGCAAACTCATGCTATGAAGCGTGGCCTGGACAACAAATCGGCAATGCAGTTGCACTGCATGCATGTGGATATCCCCGAGGCCCAAACGGCCAGCCACAACCCCTACACACAGCGCCGAGAGGGGGACGGACAGGAGGGAGGAGAGAGGAGGACTTGAATCCTGCACTTTGAGAAGTCCAAGACCACGATGTTCTCTGTGATCATTAGCGGCCCCATCTCCTTCTGGTAGTTCATCGCCGAACCGAAGAAGAGCGGGCCGATGAGGAAAAAAGTGCGCGTGTCGGGCCCTACCTCTACCTCCACCCTGGCCTCCGTGGCGATCGTCCATGCAAATCCTAGGGCATGGACAACGACGCCGACAAACACTGCCACCGCAACGTCATACCAGACGGTGATCAGCATCACGACGATCACCACGACCAAATCCATCCAATTAATGCGCCAGATCAGCCTGAAGATCCCCCAAGCAAACGTGTTGAGCGCGATGAGGATGAGAATCCCCATGACTCCGGCCACAGGAACCATGGCGACCAACGGCGATGAGACCGTGGCGCAAAGTATGAGCGCGAAGCCCGCAATCACGCCAGAGGTCCCAACCCCAGGGGCTGCCACTGCCACAGCCTCCCTCCTCCCACGACGTGGCCCCGTGCACCCCCAGGGGCTGCAGCAGTCCCCCAGCCTGACCAGGGGCCCTTCCGAAGCGGAAGGCTACGAGAGCAAAAAAACGGGAACAACTGCAAAGGCAAGAACTTTTCAGAGGTCCGCACGGACTTCTTGGATCAACGTTGGCCCCGTCCCTTCCCGGCGCGCTCCGCGCGCCGGGGGCGGCACCAAAGGCGCCGCCAGGGGGGTCCGGCACCGATCCAGGACATCCGCGCGGGCCTCCGAGAGTTTCTGTCTACGTTTGGGTCGGGCATGTCCCCCTACAGGCAGATCTTTGAGGAAGAACAAACAGTGCTAGAAACATACGCAAAAATACAGTTGAAAAGAAGTCCTCAGACTATGTTTTGACTATTTCTGGATCTTCCTCCTGTAGAGGGATATGCCCGACTTCTGTCTGCGTCCCCTTGTGGCCATCGAGAGAGAGGTGAGCGGCTACGGTCGGGGGTGACGGGCTCAGGGGCGGGGGGGAAACATCAACCGACCTGCAGTCGGCGATGCATCGCCGATGGATCGGCGAGAGGCCCCCGATAGCGAAGCCGAGCGTTCCTGGAGGGGGAGGGATATCGGGCCCCTATCGTCAGGTCGGGCATATCCTCCGACAGGGGGATTTTTGACGGACGGAAAATCAAAAATATCCAAAAATAGTTAAAATCAAAAATGTTCAGAAAATATTCACAAGTAGTCGACAAATACTAAGAAAATCGTTCCTTGACTATTTGATGACTATCTTTGAATACTCCTCCTGTAGAGGGACAGGCCCGACTTAACCCTATCGGCGATGAATGGTCGATTGGTGGTCGATGCATCCCCCTCTGAGCCACTCCCCGACCCCATTGGTTTTCGGGACATAGTTCGGGCATCCGGCGGCCGTTCGGGACGATCCAGGCACCCCCGGAACGCTCTCGGCGAGGCGCAGCCGCTGGAAGGCTTTCTGAGGCTGGAGAGCCGCCGAGAACCGACGAAAGCATTCGAAAACATCGAACCTCGAAACTTTGTCCCGCTCAGTCTAATTCCCCCCCGCCCCCCAAAGGCAGTGGCAATGGTAGGCTCTGGAAGTGGGAGGATAAGCGGCTCCTCCCACCGCTGCTCACGTTCAGCAGCGAGTGCCCGAGCAGCGCACAGCCGCCCTGCGTGCCGAACAGCGAGGCCACAATGTTCCCGACGCCCTGCCCGAAGCACTCGCGCCGCATGGAGCCGGCGGTCCCAGTGATCTGATCGATGAGGGCCTTCCCGAATCTCCGACGATATTACTTGTTTCAAATCCTTGAGCTTTTCCCTGATTTCTGATTCTAGGGCCCGCTGTCGGGACCCGGAGCCATCAACAACGGGTCCGGGACGACAAGCTGGGCACAGGGAGCGGTCGGGGCTTGAGCCTGTTTTTTAGAGTCCGGCAAGCTTACTTGCAAGGACGGAGGGGCTGAACCTGAAGCAGGCCGCAAACGACTTGCACGTGCGGAAACCACGCACATCGAAAGGCACTTGCACGCCGGTGTTCGTCTGAAAAGGCGCGAGGGGGGGGGGGGGGGGCGAACGCCATGCAAGTACCCTTGCCTGAATTATGATTTCAAACACGGCTCCTTCTGGGGGCGCGCATTTGACAAAATCCCCAAAAAACATCGGATCTGTATCTGGGCCCTGGGCGCCTCGATGCGCGTGGGGCAGGCGGGGGGGGGCGCGACGTCGCGTGGGGAGGCGGGGAGGCGCCGCCCCTCGCGAGGAGCGGGGGCGGAGGGGGCACCGCGTGGGGGGTGGCGTGCGACGGCAGCCACCACCCACGCGGAGAGGTCCATTGAAAGGGCCCACACACGCACAAATAAATACACACAAATAGAATGATTCCCCATGTTTTCCCATATTTTCTGGGTTTTTGTCCCCCCCACTTCCCATATTTTCCCATATCTTCTGGGGGATCGACGATTAATTGTGTTTATGCTTTTTCCCTCCAGAACCGCCTGCCATGCCAGGTTGGCATGTAGGCAAGGGGGGGTCCTGAGGGAACAGGTCACATCACGAGCGGCTAGCATATCCGCAGCCGCGCCCTCGCGGTCTGGATTCCGGGGCGCGGTCCCGCGGATACGCGTGCGCACGGATATACGTCCCGCGCGGGGCATCCGCGGAAACGACGGAGAACCCCTCGGGGACCCTTGGCTTCAGGACCGAGTTGCTTCCATGACGAGCCAGGTGGGGGGGCAAAGACTTCGAGCCCTCAAGACGCCAGGAGTCTACGGTGACGAACTTCTGCTGCGCGCGTCGCGGCGCTGCAGGGTGCCGGCGTGCCGCTCCGCTCCGCGGGGCGGGAGCCCAAGAAGAGCCCGGGACGCTGACGCACACGGGACCCGGAAGTTGCCAGCGCGCCACGCCGAAGCCCGGCATGGTGGTCCAGAACCGGCGGCGCGACATGCGAAGCCCGAGCTCCTCACTGTTAGCACCTTCCCTATTGGAGGTGGCCAGGGCGCCTGAAGTGGTCGGGACCCTGGAAAACCAGTGAGGGGCGGGGAGGGGGGCGGGGGATGAGGCCAAGTCCGCTCAAAATCGGTCCCCGGCCGCACCCCTCCCGGATTTTTGTTCACCCCAGATCCGTTGTTCACAGCCCGGGGGCCCGAAAACGGCCCCCAGAGGCTGGCAAAGGCCGAAGACCTTCCCGAACCGAAGACCTGCGCGCCCGTACTGCTTGCCGACACCAGTGCTGGGCAACCTCAGATCCCCAGACGGCTCCAGACCTCCCCTTCCCCTCGGAGAGGTGTGGCATGCAGACTCCCGTCGCCGACCTCTGTCAGGAGGCTCTCCAGCAGGCCAACCAGCGCGAGGCGGAAGGACAGGCTGAGCGCCTTGAGCACCAAATTGTGGTTGCTCCACTCCATGCCGACGGGCGGAAAGTCCCACTTGGGGACCTGGCCCAAGCCGACTTCCAGCATCCCTGGGCCGGCAACATCGCCAACGGTCCTGGTCGGCACCACAAAGCTGAACGCGGTGGTGATGACGAGCGAAGCGAGCGCTGAAGGTACGGTCGTGCCCAAATTGGGCACCCTTCGCCAGGCCATTGCCACGAACATCGCTACACCGCCTATCACCATCATGCTGACGAACGTGCCGTAGCTGACCCAGGGTCCGTCGCCGTGCTCGTGAAAGTGCCGGAGCTGAGAGCGGAGCATGACGAGCGCGAGGCCGTTGACGAACCCGAGCATCACAGGGTGCGGGATCAGCAAGGGCTCCCAACTTCGCGCTTCGCGCTGCGCGAAGCGCGAAGTGCGAATAACTTCGCGCTCTCGCGCCACCCCCCAAAAGGGAGAAAAGGAGGACAAGGAGGAGGAGGAGAAGGAACGAGGACCGCGAAGCGCGAAGCGCGAATAACTTCGCACCCTCGTGGGAGCCCTTGGATCAGAGTCACGAGCTTCGAGACCCGCAGCAGGCCGAAGAGCAGCTGCAGGAGGCCCGCACAGAAGACGCAGAGCGCCATGGGCGCCATGCCGCCCATGTCGTCAGGCGTGGAGACGCCGGACAGGACCGCGGCGGTCCCAGCCGAGACGCCCGAGACCACGCCGGGGCGCCCCCCGACGAGCGAGGCGCTGATGCTCATGAACGCGCAGGCCCAGAGCCTGGACTTCTTTGTTTTTTGTACGCCTGTTGTTCTCCAGGCCCAGAGCCTGGAGATCCGACGCTCCGAGACACAGGGGAGCGGGCCGTTTGGGGCCGCTTTCGGCCTCCGGGGGTCAGACGCGGCCTAGCCGACCCCTAGCAAACCACCCCCATTCCGTGACGTCCTCCTCGCCTTTGCTAGGGGTCGGTTAGGCCGCCCCCGAGGGGGCCCTCGCCGGGCGTCGGGAGCGTCAATGGGAACGACGACTCGGGGCGAAAAGCCAGCTGGTCTGGCGGACGGTCTGGGCCTCCGGGGCCCACGCCTCAAAAGAATGGGAGCCGCCGGAGGTCTGGGAGCCCGTTCGCGGGTGGCGTCTCCGTGACGAAGGAGAAGGACACCACGTTCGGGATCATCGCCAGCGCCACGGTGAGCCCCGCGAGGGTGTTCTGCAGGACGGTGCCCTCTGCCGTGTCGGCATCGAAGGTCTGCATCAGAGTGCCGACTGGCGTCATGGAGCCCCTCTCCTGCTCCTGCAGTCGGTACAGGGAGCCGATCCTGGGGCGCCGCCCCCGGCAGGGCTCGGGCGGACAGGCGCGGCTGCCGGCGCCTTCCCAGACGCGGGCGATGCCGCAGAGGAGCAGCGGCAGCGCCAGGCACCCGGAGACGAGGGCGCGGTCCGAGAGGGTCGGCTGCTCCCCGTGCTCGCTGGCGGAGTTCACGAACCGTGGCAGCTGGCCCGAGAAGGATGGCGGACGACTGACGTTGAAGAAGTACTCCACGGGGAACTGCCGCGGGCTGCTCCTCTCCGACCGCCAGGCGGTTCTGTCCTCAAGCTCCGGCGTGCTGCTGAGGTTAAGTCGGGCCTGTCCTCCTACAGGGGCATTTTGGAAGAGAAATAGAAAATAGTCAAAACATACACCAAAATGGTCAAACAATACCCAAAACATAGTTGATTATTTTTGAATATTCCGCCTGGGGACAGGCCCGACTTCATGTTGAGGCGATGAACCTCGGACGGCGCAGCGTAGGCGGCCTCCCCGCGGCCTGGAGAGCTGATGCCAGAGGACCAGACAGAGAACGGCACGAGCACGGCCCCGTCTCGGGGCTCCAGAGATGGGGCCCCGAGGAAGGGGGCGCGAAGGACGAGGGGCCTCGAGCAATGCAGACTCAACCCGGGAGCCATTCCTGTCTCCAGACCCCCCCCCGACGTCATGCTTTTGCTCATACAGCCGACCCCCAGAATTCTCGACCCACTCCCCAGGGACCGGTTTTTCATCCCGAGTAGCTTCCTGACGGTCCCGAGGCCCGGCGAGGGCCCCCAGCGGCCGAAGATAGCGAAAACCTCCCGCTGCGATCCTTGCATGACTCGAGGGGGATGGGGGTCCCGTATGGGGCCCGTGCCTCAGGGCCCCGTCTGTGAACCGCCGATTTCGGGGTCCGTGCGCATCTCTTTGGCCCGGGCCAGATGCCACTCTTGAGCAGGGACCGACCGTCCCGGCATTCCGATAGTCCTACCACGAAATGTTCCTAGAACCCAAAGGTGTCCTAAGTACAAAAGACAGTGTTCTTCGAGCATAAGCCCGATGTGTTCAAACAAGACAGGCCCCGCCAGAGATGCTCTAAGAACTTCTCGTGGAAACCACAGCAGGTTCTTGGAACGCTGTTTGGTGGGGCTGCAGGCGAGCTGGGACGCTCCGCTCGAGGCCAGCAAAGGGGCCCTGGGACACACAAATAAATACACACAAACCAAAATATTCCCCATGTTTTCCCATTTTCTTTGGATTTTCGTCTCCCCCCTACTGCCCATATTTTCCCATATCTTCTGGGGAATCGACGATTACTTGTGTCTGTGTGTTTTCCCCCTTCCTGAAGCTGCCCCTCCCCCGCGCCCCCCTCCCCGGAGAGCCCGCCGGCCTGCCAGCTGCGCGCGGCTCCAGGGGGTGGCGGGGCGGGGGGGGGCCCAGCGCTGGCCCCCGGAGATCCCCCAGAGGTCCGATGTTTCTGTAAGGAACCGAAGTCTATAATCTATATATATACATATATATATAGATAACATATATATATACATATATATATAACATATAAATAAACAAATTCATACATAAATAAATAACTGAAAAATAAATAAATAAATAAATAAATAAATAAATAAATAAATAACTGCATGCATAAATCAATCAATAACTAAATACATAAAAACACATAAACAAATACATAAATAGATAAACAAATAAATAGGTAATAAATAAATAAATAAATACATACATAAATGAATCAATCAACACATAAATACATACATACATACATACATACATATATATATATATACATATATGTATATATACATGCACCGACGCCTCTGTCTGGCCTCACACCGGATCTCGCACGGGGAGAGCAGATCCTGGCGTGTGCGGGATCCTGGTGCATGCATTCTTCGCCGTTTCCCTGGGAAGCGGGGAGAAAAGTATACGCCACACCGCCCCGACGTCGTCCTCGACCCTCAAAAAAGACATGGGATTGAAAAACCGCCCGCCACTGGTAATGTATACGCTCCAGTTTACGATTTTTCCTTGTGCAAAACGGGGAGACGGAAGAGAAGTCCGCTGCCCTGCACCCCTAGTCATCACCCCCCTCTTTGCCGCCCCCGATTACAAGATGTTTTGTCCAATGCGACGCCCCCGGAAGTCCCGATCCTGTCCCGCGGGCCCGTTCTTCATCCCACGAGCCGTCGCGCCGCTCGTCGGTCCTCCGGATGCGGTCGCCGTCCAGGGCCAGCCCTGCTGCGGGGGCTGCGAGCTGTTCCCACCGCACTGTGAGGACCACATCCCACAGATCATTTCGAGCACACGGAGAAGCATCGAAACAATGTCCGTCCGACGCGCTGGCAGGGCGTCGAACGCGCCTCGCCTCCCGAGGCCCGACACTGGAAGACCCTCCAATCCGGGGTGCTCCCAATTCTTCCTCGTCGCCAAGGCCAAAGCAGGTTGGAACATCATAACCAGGGGGGCGTCCATCCAAACCTCCGACATCGTGATTCTTTCGCAACGTCGACCCCCAAAGGTCTCGACCCCTTCCCAGGCCCCAGTTTCGCATCCCGCGTCGATTTTTGCTGGACGGTCCCGAGGCCCTTCGATAGGGCCCCAAACGTTGAAGATAGCGAAAAACACCTCCTGCCGTGACTTTGCTCACGACTCCAGGGGGTCTGGGTAGGAGGAGGAGGAGGAGGAGGAGGAGGAGGAGGAGGAGGAGGAGGAGGAGGAGGAGGAGGAGGAGGAGGAGGAGGAGGGGTACGGAGTAGGAGCAGGAATAGGAGGAGAGGTTGCACCATCATGACCAGGGAGGCGTAGGAACATGAGCAGGCACAGGGTCCGTGGCCCACCGCTCCTGGCGGGCCCGATCCGAGGCCCAGGACCCGCACGCTGCGCGGGCCTCCCCTGGCCGAGCCGGGCCGGGCGAATGTGCGCCGGCCCTCGGCACAGTCTTTGTTTGATCCGCGGGTCGAGAGCGCACCTCTTCCGGTCGAAGCTAAGCGGGCCGCGCGAAGCTTGAATTACCCAGAGATGGGGGAGGGAAAGGGGGGCGCAGCCTCAGAACGGCCGATCCTCGGCACAGGAATGTCCAGGGATCCGAGGCTCCGAACTCGGAGCCTCGGGGCCCAGACCTCCTCGCGAGAAAAGCTCGGAGGCCCGCGCGGACTTCGCGGATCGGCGCCGGGGCCCCCTGGCGGCGCCTCCAGCGCCGCCCCTCCGCGCGACAGGGAGGGGGGTCGAGCGCCGATCCGAGAAATCTGCGCGGACCTCTGAGTCTGTATGTGTATGTCGATGTCTGTTCCCCGAAAGAGCCTCCCAGACCATCTTGCTGGCTCTTGCGGGTCGACGCCAGTCGCTAGTCGACGCTAGTCGGCGCTCATCGACGCAACATCGGCGCTAAATCGACGCGAATCGACGCTGTCTCATCGCCTCCCAGACGCCAGTCGACGCTCAAGACGGAACTAAGAGGGTTCACCAGACTCCCATGATTTGCGGCCGAACTCGCGATGTGAAAAAATCGCGATGGGACATGTTTCTTTATTTTCGGCCTCCCAATGCCCCGAATTGGGCCTCGGGTTCGTCAACAGAACTACTCGGGATGAGAAACTGGTAACCGGGAAGGGGTCCAGACCTCTGGGGGTCGACGTCGTGAAAAAAATAAGACGTCGGAAGTCTGGGTCGGATGTCCAGGTCCTTATGGGGAAACAGCGGAGCGGCCGGTCCATGTGTTTGTTATGGAGCGGCCAGTTTTGGTGCTATGTTCGGCTTCCTGGGGCCCTCAACGGGCCCCGGGACCGTCCCAAAGCCACCTGGATTTTTCTAGACTCCGGCAGGCTTACTTGCATGGACGGAGGGGGGCCTGAAACTGACGCAAGCCGCAAACGACTTGCACGTGCGGAAACCACGCACGTCGAAAGGCACTTGCACGCCAACGTTCGTTTGAAGAGGGGCGGGGGGGCGAACGCAATGCAAATAAACTTGCCCGAATATTTTTGTTGCGTTTTTTTATGATTTATATATATATATATATAAACATATATATCTATATAAACTCCGAGATGAAAAACTGGGTCCCGAAGCTGTCCAGACCTCCCCGGGCCCACGCATCGACACAAACTGCAGCGCGGGACCTCTGGGGAGGGGCCTGGCCAGGCTCTGGGGGGACCAGATCATACCGCCACCCGCCCGGACCTGTCCTGGAGTGCGTGGCACGAAATTGAGGCACATCCCCTGGAACCAACGCCAGCACCGAGCTGTGAAGCCGAGAACTCAAGCGGATAAGGAACAGGTTCAGCACCCGGGTGCACTGAAAGCCCCGGCAGACACTCAGACGTGTCCCTCCTGAGCTCCAGCCTCTGATCGAGGCCGCTTCCTGGGCCGCTCGCTGCGGCAACGTCCTCCTACCTCTCCCAGGGTGCGCTCTGACCAGAATTCCGAGGCGAATCCCGCGGTGGCGACGAGGGCCTCCAGGGAGCCCAAGAAGGCGAAAACGAGGGAAGGGTAGCAGTAGAGCCGAAAAGATGGTCATGGAAAGAATCGTTTGATTATGTAAGAAATCTGGGCCGGCCTCCTAGAAGCTTCCTGGAACAAGCCTGGGCCAGCGTCCCGTTGTTCACGATGGAGGGGCGAACGCGATCAAGAAACCGGGCCAGCTCTCCGGCAGGTTGATCAAGAGACGCTGCGGAAGGAGCTTTCTTATCGGGCGGGTGGTGGTTGGGGGGTGGCCTAAATTGAAGGGGCCCCAGGACACATAAATAAATACACACAAATAACAGGATTCCCCTTATTTTACCATATTTTCTCTGGGTTTTTGTCTTCCCCCCCACTTCCCATATTCTCCCATATTTTCTGGGGAATCGACGATTAATTGTGTCGGTGTTTTTTCCCGAAGGGCCCTCAAAGGGGCTCTGCAAGGCCCCTTTGGGAGCCAGCAGGTGCCCGAGAGGGACCCTAGAACGCCCCTTCGGGGCCCTCTCCGCCACTCCCCCTTCAGGTCCCCCCCCCATTCAGAGGAACAAATACGGCATAAACATCAACTTTCGCCTGTCCGCGTCCGCGCGGACTTCTTGGATCTGCGCCGGACCCCACTCCCTGGCGCGCGGAGCGCGCCAGGGGCGGCGCCGGAGGCGCCGCGGCGGGGGGGGGGGGGGGGGGGGGGAAGATCCAAGAAATCCGCGCGGAGCGCCAAAGTTTATGTTTATGCGTTATTTTCTTCTTCGACCTGAGGTGCCTCTTCAGGGCCCTATTCTCCACCCCCAACTTATGACGAACAAGCAACACGCACCAACACCAATAAGGGGGACGGAGGGGACTATGGGCGCGTGTTGTTGGGTGGGCGCGAGGGTCCGACAACCCGCACCCATAGCCATAGCCAGTCCCCGTCCCTCCACCCCTCTTACGGGTGTGTGTGTGTGCGTGTGCGTGTGCGTGTGCGTGTGCGTGTGCGTGTGCGTGTGCGCGTGCGCGTGCGTGTGCGTGTGCGTGTGCGTGTGCGTGTGCGTGTGTGCGTGTGTGCGTGTGCGCGTGCGTGTGCGTGTGTGTGAGAGAGAGTGAGTGTGAGTGCGAGTGTGTGTGTGCGTGCGTGTGCGCGTGCGTGTGCGAGTGTGTGTGCGTGCGCGTGTGCGCGTGAGCGTGTGAGCGTGTGTGCGTGTGCGTGCGTGGCGCGTGCGCGTGCTCGTGAGCGTGCGTGTGCGCGTGTGCGTGTGCGTGTGCGTGTGCGTGTGCGTGTGCGTGTGTGGGTGCGTGTGCGTGTGCGTGTGCGTGTGTGCGTGTGTGCGTGTGCGTGTGCGTGTGCGTGTGCGTGTGCGTGTGCGTGTGCGTGTGCGTGTGCGTGTGCGTGTGCGTGTGCGTGTGCGTGTGCGTGTGCGTGTGCGTGTGCGTGTGCGTGTGCGTGTGCGTGTGCGTGTGTGCGTGTGCGTGTGCGTGTGGCGTGTGGGCGTGTGGGCGTGTGGGCGTGTGGGCGTGTGGGCGTGTGGGCGTGTGGGCGTGTGGGCGTGTGGGCGTGTGGGCGTGTGGGCGTGTGTGTGTGTGTGTGTGTGTGCGTGTGCGTGTGCGTGTGCGTGTGCGTGTGCGTGTGCGTGTGCGTGTGCGTGTGCGTGTGCGTTGTTCGTTCGTCAATTTTGTGGTCTGGCCGTGGTCGTTGCTTTGTCATTTCGCCGCATTCGGTCGCTCAGGTAGCTCCGCCCTGGGTTCGTCCGCTCGCGCTGGCATGCCGCCCGTTAATTGGCGCGGCCCGCCTGCCCGCCGCCGATTGGCATCCGCCTCGGCGCTCTCTCTTGGCAGGGCCCCTGCCCGTGCCCTCGGTGCTGCTGCGCCCTTGGGCAACCCCTCCTCGCCTGGTCTCGGCGCTCCCCTCCGTAGCCGACGTCGGAGTTCCCCCGTCGGCGCGGGTCGAGGTCCTGGCCGCCCGCTTCCTCGGCTCGTCCGCCGCCCCGGCTCTCCCCCCGCGCATGTGCCTCGCAGGCCCACAGGTCTCGGCAATTCGCTTTTCTGCTCGCTCAGCTCAGTTCCTGCCTTGAGGCCCCTCGGTCTCGGTGCATGGGCTGCCTCTGGGCCGCACCTGGCGGCTCGCCGGGCTTTGCTGGCGCTCCCATCGCCTCTCTCTTGCTGCTCAGCCAGCTGGACCACGCAGTTCCTCAACTTCTGCTATGCAGGCAGCTCCGTGCTGCCCAGCTCAGCTCAGCGCAGCTCCGTGCAGCTCAGCCCCCGGCGCTCCCCTGCCTGGGCCTATCCCTGCACGCGCTCCGGTGGCCCGCTTGTCTCGGCGCTCGGCCTAGCTTTGGCAGCGTCTTGGGTCGGATCGGAATCCGTCGTGTTGCTTTTCTCCATCACCAGTTGCAGCCCCGTGCTGCCTCCCCCCGCTTCAGCTCAGTGCAGCTCAGTGCAGCTCAGTGCCGGCGCTGTTCCCCCACCTTGGCGCTCTCCCGCCGCAGTCGGCAGCTATGAGTGGCCCGGCTTCCTCTCTCCCTGTCGCGCCAGGGCTCCTCCTCCCCCCTCCGTGCATTGCGGCCTTAATTTGCATACAGCGTGCACCCTGTTGCCATTCCGATGGAGCAGTCACGTTCTGCCCAGCCGCCGACGCAAAGAGTGTGTGTGTGTGAGTGTGTGTCTGTGTGCGTGTGCGTGTGTGTGTGCGTGTGTGTGTGTGCGTGTGTCTGTGAAAGTGTGGGTGAGTCTGTGTGTGTGAGTCTGTGTGTGCGTGCGTGCGTGCGTACGTGCGTGTGTGTGTGGTGTGTGTGTGCGTGTGCGTGTGCGTGTGCGTGTGCGTGTGCGTGTGCGTGTGCGTGTGCGTGTGCGTGTGCGTGTGCGTGTGCGTGTGCGTGTGCGTGTGCGTGTGCGTGTGCGTGTGCGTGTGCGTGTGCGTGTGCGTGTGCGTGTGCGTGTGCGTGTGCGTGTGCGTGTGCGTGTGCGTGTGCGTGTGCGTGTGCGTGTGCGTGTGCGTGCGAGTGTGTGTGGTGTGTGTGTTGTGTGTGTGCGTATGTGTGTGCGTGTGCGTGTGCGTGTGCGTGGGCGTGTGCGTGTGCGTGTGCGTGTGCGTGTGCGTGTGCGTGTGCGTGTGCGTGTGTGCGTGTGCGTGTGCGTGTGCGTGTGCGTGTGCGTGTGCGTGTGCGTGTGCGTGTGGGTGTGCGTGTGCGTGTGCGTGTGTGTGTGTGTGTGTGCGTGTGTGCGTGTGTGCGTGCGTGCGTGCGTGCGTGCGTGCGTGTGTGCGTGCGTGCGTGCGTGCGTGTGCGTGGCGTGCGTGCGTGCGTGTGTGTGTGCGTGTGTGCGTTGTCCGTTCGTCAATTCAGGCCACCCCCCATTACCAACCACCCGCCCGATCTTGATCAGGTGCTCGACAGACTGAACCAGACATGTTCTGAGAACATTTCGCGCAGACCGCGAAAGGTTCTAAGAACATCCTTTGGTGAACCTACAGGCGAGCCAGGACGCTTCGCCACTGCTTGACGGTACCTTGGAGCGCGTTTGTTTATTTTCGGCGATGATGGGCATTATAGGGGGGGGAGGGGCCAGGGGTGGGTACAATGTAACGCCTCCTCCCCGCCGTGCGCACGGCGGCAGTGCCCGGAGCGCACTGGGGGGAAGGGGCGTTGCGTTATAGGGGAGGTTGGGGCGAGGGGGGCTGGGGGCTTTACTGCCCATTATGGCCCAAGCAATGAAGAAACACGCTCTTCTTCCTCTAGGGAAACGAACTCTATACACCGACGATGTTTCAGACTCTGCGCTGAAATTCGCACAGGAACGCGCATCCTGGTGTGTACGGGATCCTGGTGTATACATGTTTCGTTGTCTCCCAGGGAAAACGGGGGACCAGTATACACCACACCACCCCGACGTCACCCCCGACCCTCAAAAAGTCCTGGGATTGAAAAAAAGACAACCCGCCACTGGCAGTGTATATCTCGCCATCGCTCGGACGGCCATTCCTCGTGTATTGTTCGATTTCGTGCGTGTTTTTTCTTTCTCGCCAAATGATCAAGGATGACCGTCGCCGAAGAGAAAAATGCACACGTCCGAGCGATGCCAAGATATGTTCCAGCTTGCGATCCTCCTCCGACGATCGGCGAAGGGTGGCCCGTCGGACCCCCCCCAGGCCCGAGGCCTGTGCTGCCCGGCACGGCGGCGAGCAGGCCCACCGCCACGAGGAGCAGAGCGCCGCCCGCCGCCCCGCGGGCGCCGCCCTCTCCTGTCGGAGGCCCCTCGGCAGCACTCCGAGCACCCCCTCCTCCTCCTGCTCCTGCTCCTCCTCCTCCTCCTCCTCCTCCTCCTCATCATCATCATCCTCATCCTCATCCTCATCCTCATCCTCATCCTCATCCTCATCATCATCATCATCATCATCATCATCAGCAGCAGCATCATCATCCTCATCAGCATCATCATCATCCTCCTCATCAGCATCATCAGCATCATCCTCATCCTCATCCTCATCATCATCATCATCAGCAACATCATCATCATCAGCATTATCACCCTCATCATCCTTCTCATCCTCATAATCATCCTATTCCTCATCATTACCCTCATCCTCATCATCAACTTCATCCTCATCCTCCTTATCCTCCTTCTCCTCCTTCTCCTTCTCCTGCTCCACTTCACTCCTCCTCCTCCTCCTCCTTGTCCACTTCACTCCTCGTCCTACTTCTCCACTTCATTCCTTCTTCTCCACAAATCCACAATATGAATACTACTCCCATCTCTCCCCTGATGACGTCCAGAAGATGTCACCCCCTTACACGTGTTGTTTTTTACACACAGGATTCCCTGGAGTTGGGTTTTCGTCTGGGCTTTCGTTCAACATGTTGCTCCCGCTGAAGCGCTGGCCTCATTTTCGGGCGTCCGCTCATTCCAAATCGTGCTCCCGCTGCAGCGCCGGCCTCATTTTCGCGCTTCCGCTCGTTCCGAATCGTGCTCCCGCTGCAGCGCCGGCCTCATTTCCGCGCTTCCGCTCGTTCCGAATCGTGCTCCCGCTGCAGCGCCGGCCTCATTTCGGCGCTTCCGCTCGTTCCGAATCGTGCTCCCGCTGCAGTACTGGCGTCAGAATTTCCAATGCCATGCCGCGGCATGGTTTTCGATCCTTCCAAAAAAGCCCGAACATCTGGAAAATGCCCCCCGAAAAAATCGTCGGAAGTGATTCTGCATTCGGAGTCGATTTGTCCATTTTGAGGGGCCGCAAGACACTTTGGGGCGTCGCCACGCGATGCTATGTCATGCTACGCGTTGATCTTCAACAACATGCTATGCCATGTAATGCTATACGGCTATGCCATGCTACGACATCCGACTGTGGTAAGTGATGGGAGGGAGGGTAGGTCGTCAGATATGATGCGAGCGCACCTGCTTGTCCGCCTCCCCCTCCTCGTCCTCCTCCTCCTCCTCCTCCTCCCTCCTCCTCCTTCGCCTCCTCCTCCTCCTCCTCCTCCTCCTCCTCCTCGTCCCTCCTCCTCCTCCTCCTCCTCCTCCTCCTCCTCCTACTACACCGGATTAGGCCGCGGACTAAGCGGGATTTTCGGCCCCATCACGCGGGATCAGGCCGGATTAAGCGGGATGAAGCAGGACTTCGGCTCGAGGCAAGGTCAGAATCCGACCTCCCAAGGGTTGCCACCCGAGTCTCCTGGCCCCATCGGGCTGCTGCCGGGCGGCGCGCTACGCCCGCGCGCAGAAGAGCATGGAGGCAGCGTAAGGTGACGACGCTCTCGGGAGGAGGCAGAGGCCCTGGACACCACGACGAGCGGGGGGGAGAGGGGGGAGGATCGCGTGGGGAGGCGGGACGGGCCGGCCTTCCCGAGGCGTGGGGGGCGGGGGGGGGAGCGGACCGCGTGAAGAGTAACTTGCGACGACCCCAGCGCTGGCTTCTGTCACCGCGTGGATCGCTCGCCCTCGCACGATCGGCGGCCGCTCGACCGCCAGACCGTTCCCAGACCCCCCACGCCGTGATTTGTTCATGACGTGACCCGAAGGCCAGACCCTTCCCCGGGACCGATTTTTCCTCCGGAATCGCTTTTCGATGGCCCCGAGGCCCGGGAAAGGCCCCCGGAGCCCCAGAAATGGCGAAAAGCCTCCCGCCGTGATTTTTTCACAACGCGAGGAGGTCTGGGGCCCACGTGGGTCGATTCCGGCCCAGACATGCGAGGTCAAATTTTCTTCCCTACGGGCTGTGCGGAAGGCCCAGCCCCTTCCCCCCGGGCACGGCAGGCCCTCGACGGCAGTCCACAGGGCGGCCTCGACTCTCAGCGGGAGGCTGGCGCTCTCGCGCCGCTTTCCCAGACATGCGATGTCCTGATTTCTCCAGTACGGGCTCCCCGGTCTCGCGCCGCTTTCCCAGACATGCGATGTCCTGATTTCTCCAGTACGGGCTCCCCGGAAGCCCCGACCCTCTGGGTCGTTTCCTGACGCTGCCGAAGAGCAGCGAGGGCCCCCCCAGAGGCCGAGAGCAGCCCAGAGACCTCCCGTCGTGTCTGTTTTTGTTACGGTGGGGATACGCTGGCGGCGCTCGGCCCGGAACGCCCGCGGCCCGGTGGCCGCAGAGCGGGCGCGCGGGGGGGCTTGCAGCGGAGGCCAGCCCACAAGAGAACCCTTCCACGAGAAGCCCAACCCTGAAGCCCCAGGACGTCCATGGATTGTCGGTGTGGGAAATGCACGCTCTCTGTAGCAAAGCCATTCACACCTGAGGTCGGGCCTGTCCCCTGAGGAGAAGCGAAACATACCACCGAAATGCTCAAAAATAGTCACAGATAGTCAGGACAAATCGTGCCCAGACCAAATACTCCCCCCTGTAGAGGGGCAGGCCCGACTTCATCCAAAGCCAAGACACCCAGGTGGCCCCCTGGAGGCAAAGCAGGGTGCTCCTTGGCATGGGTCCCCCCTGCACCGCCAGACCGCGCGGGGCGCAGCCGCCGCCACCCCGGGCCACCCGCGGGGGCGGCCTTCTCCATCTCACCTACACCCCTCGCTCGCCGCCGACGGAAAGTGTGGGCGCGATGCCCCGCACGTGGACGCCCGACACAAAAAAGGGCCTTGCGATCTTGCTCGGCAGCTTGCGCGGGCCGCCAGCGTGGCAGGCTGCCTTGGAGGCGAGGTCGAAGACGCGCGACCTTACGCGGGCAGCTTACGCGCCAAAGTCCGCGCAATCGGCCCAGTTGTCTTCTGTCACTCATTTGGGTGCCCGACATGGGTACGGACAGAATGGGCACGATGCCCAACAGCATACACCGACAGCGGCCGCTGTTGGGCAGGCGGCTTTATGTCTCAAGTGGACACCGTCCGCAGCGACGCCGACACCGAACTCTGTTCCAAATGGGCAGGGGCTCAGGTCGGTGTTCGCACCTATTTTTCCCGTATCCATTTCGATCGCACCGACAACAATACTACCTGCTCATGGGGAACAGGTGTAGCTGTCACTCGGAACCCTTCTGACAACCAGTCTTGCCGTTTTGACTTGTCACGACGCGAACATGTCTGGGTATGCATCTTTCTCCGCGCCCTCGGGGTGGCCCTCGGCCCAAGGGTGCCGGAGCTTTCCGCTGCATCTTCGGGGGACCTCGTCTGTCCCACCGCGCCAGCCATCCGTGTCGCAATGCGACTGGATGATCCATGTCGACTCCATTCCGAACGCGTCGGATCCGTGCCAAAGCCGTGTCGAATCCCAGTCGAATCCACGTCGAACTCACGTCGAATCCACGACGGAGTACAAGAGAAGATGGCCATGTACAGGACAGGAAGAGGCCCCCCGAAGATGCAAAGCAAGGCGCTCGGCGGGCACCGTCCAGGCCCGAGCTGCATCGAATCGCGACACCGGGTCGGATCGGAGGCGGCTCGGATCGCCCGCGAGCCGCCCCGAATCGGACCAACATCGGACCGCCGCGCCCGGCTCCGCCCGGCCCCCGACGGTGCCGGCGGGCCCAACCGAGTCGGATCGAATGGGAGTCGCGGCCCGGGCCGACGCATCGAGTCGCATCGCACGGCATCGACGGCGGCCCGGCCGCTGCCTCTCCCGAGGTGTGACCAGCAGGTGCGCTCTGCGGCGGAGGGCTGAGCCTGGGGCCAGGGTGGCGCTGGAGCCAGAGCGGCGGCGGCCCGCGCGGTGCCTGCCGCGCCTGGCCAAGTGCATCGCAGCGGCTCCTCCTCCTCCTCCTCCTCCTCCTCCTCCTCCTCCTCCTCCTCCTCCCTCCTCCTCCCTTCTCCTCCTCCCTTCTCCTCCGCCCTCCTCCTCTTCCCTCCTCCTCCCTCCTCCTCCTCCCTCCTCCTCCCTCCTTTTCCTCCGCCTCCGCCTCCGCCTCCGCCTCCGCCTCCGCCTCCGCCTCCGCCTCCGCCTCCGCCTCCGCCTCCGCCTCCGCCTCCGCCTCCGCCTCCGCCTCCGCCTCCGCCTCCGCCTCCGCCTCCGCCTCCGCCTCCGCCTCCGCCTCCGCCTCCGCCTCCGCCTCCGCCTCCGCCTCCGCCTCCGCCTCCGCCTCCGCCTCCGCCTCCGCCTCCACCTCCGCCTCCGCCTCCGCCTCCGCCTCCGCCTCCGCCTCCGCCTCCGCCTCCGCCCTGAGGGGGTTAAAAATTGGCGTGTCGCTCCACTCCGCGGGGCGCGAGGCTCGAAAGATCTCAGGAGGTTGACGCTAGAGGACTGGGACTTGGTGGGAAGGAATGTCGCGTCGAAGCGTGATGGGCCAGAATCAGCGGCGCGACGCGCTGAGAAAAGTTACGAATCGTAAACAATGAGGAGGAGGTTGATACCTGCCTGCTGATAGCTCAATAGTCGGAGCGTCGGGATCATCTGCCTTGCCATCGCAGCGTTGGACCTGCACCCGCTGGGGGCGAACTGCAGGAGCGGAGACGCCTTAAGTGACTACCTACCAGACCACCCCAACCCAACCCGAAGACCCGAATTTCGGGTTGGGGGGGTAAGGGTTCCACATGTGTGTTTTCGATGTTTCCCGACCCCCCCCCCCACACTGGAAATCGAGGGTAAATCTGAGTCTTCGGGTTGGGTTGGGGTGGTTTGGTGGGTGGTGATTAAGCCCCTCCCACACTTGAGGGCGCAGGTGCTCTGACGAGTTCGGTCTTCCAGCCTCCTTCTTGCGGCCCCCTTTGGCGCCCCCAAGCGGGGCAGCCCAGGAGCGAGGCGCCTCTCCGACCCGGGCCGCGATGCGCGAAGCGCGAGCCTCTTCGCGCCCCTGGGGGGGCCCAGGGGCGAAACATCAAAACATCAAAACATCAAAACATCAAAACAGCATCATCACCAAAACATCATAACATCAAAACATTAAAACATCAGCATTAAAACATCATCATGGCCATCAGCATCATCATCATCATCATCATCATCATCAGCATCATCATCATGGTCATCATGATGATGATCATCATCATCATCAATCACCATCATCATCATCATCATCATCATCATCATCATCCTCATCCTCATCCTCATCCTGATCCTCATTCTCATCCTCATCCTCATCCTCATCCTCCTCCTCCTCATCATCATCATCCTCATCATCCTCATCATCATCATCATCATCATCAACACTACCATCGTCATCATCAGCTGCATCATCTCTATCATCATCAGGATCAGCATCATCATCATCATCATCATCATCATCATCATCATCCTCATCCTCATCCTCATCCTCAT